TGTATGAGGCATCTTTGTAAAGTTCCCAGAAAACACACATTGTGAAAAACTACACACAGAACTCCAATGCATCCTTTCATCCCATTTTCTACTGACATTTTGAGACCCTCCCTTCTCATGGATCATTCTTCTTATGGGTTTGTATGTTTAAATATTGGTAACAAATTAAACTTTAGAGGTATGTGCAGTGCATGCAATGATAGTTCTTGCAGTGTCCACTGCTGAGGGAACCATACTTGTGGCAGACACAGAGGGGAGGACCACTCAATAGGCCACCTAGCAGAGGTGGGATCTGAATCAGCTTTTAACCACTGTAGCCCACCAAAGACCTGGGAGGGGCATGGAGAGGGGAGGACGCTAGCGCACACACACACACACACACACACACACACACACACTCTCACACTCACACACTCACATACGCAGGATGGTGGGGCCAGGCCAAAAGCAGACTGGAACAGTAGTGGCCTGACATCCTAGTCGTGGGCCCCTCGTGACAGCTGTCTTCTCCCGCCCATCTCACTCCACCATCACCACCCAGCAAAATAGCGATGACACAGAGGTGAAATTGGACACACAAGGCAAGTTTCACAAGCTGCCAAGGCCGCAGGCACGGGGAGGATTAAGGGGATTTATTCTGTCAGCGGATGTTGACCAAGGAGGGAGGGAGAGAGGGAGAAGAGAGACCCAGCAGACTTGGTTTGCCCTAAAAGACTGACTGCCCAGGACCACCTGGCTCAGATATCAGGTGGCCAGTGCCAGGCTGGCAGGCTCCAGACATAGCCCTCTGACTCCAGCAGGACTCCACTGTGGGGGTAGGGGGCTGAGCCAGAGGGACCCCAGAAAGCAGCACAAGGGCCCTAGCACCCTTCTATGCCTCTATAGCCTTGGGTTGCCTGGCTATATCCTTGGGTTACATGGAAAAGCAAAGGATAGGAAGAATAAATGATCTGTTATCACTCACCTAGATCTTGAACCCAGGCCTTTTAATTTCCAGGAGCCTGTAGGTCCTGCCAGCATACCATTCACCATTCATTCATTCAGCAAACAGTCATGGGGCACCTACCAAGGACACAGTAAGTTAAGCACAGCTCCCCACCTCCTGGCCCAGCAGCTCTCCAGCAAGAAAGACCAGAAACACACAGGCCAGGAACTGTATATGGAAAGGGAAAGCAGCCGGAGGAGCCTCAGGCTGTTGACTTCCATCATGTGACTTCCAGCACACTTAGGCTCCAGTGCGGCTCTGGGAGCACAGTGGCTCCCACAAATACTTACTTATCTTAAAGATTGCATTTAAGGTTCCATTATTAAAACTGGCCCCAGTATACAAAGGAAGACAGCAGGACATGATGAAAACTGTTTGAACAGTTTAGGCCAGAAATTGGAACCAATGAATACTCTGTGATGTGTAATGTAACTTCAGGGAAAGCGGAGGCCTCAGGCAATTAAGGATGGGTTAGGAGAAAAGCAAGCAGATGAGAAAAGCAAAGCAGGCAGCAACTCCAGGAAGAACAAAGAGTCATACAAGAGAGGAGATGCAGCCAAAATAACCAGATGTGGCTTGGTGGGAAACAATGTTGACAGTCATAATATAGTTAATACCAGCTTAAAACCCTGGGCTACATGTAGGCTGAAAGGAGAAAAAGATTCATGAAAGCCAAATCTTCCTTAATAATAATAAAAAAAAATGTGTTTTTAAAAAGATTTATTTATTTATTTATTTGGAAGTCAGAGTTATTTGGAAGAGAGAGGGAGAGATAAGCAGATCTTCCAATCCCTCTCCAGATAATGAGGACTGGGCCAGGCCAAACTCAGGAGCCAGGATCCTCCCATGCGTCTCCCACATGGATGCCAGGGCCCAAATATGTGGGCTATCCTCCCCTGCTTTCCCAGGTGCATTACCAGGGACCTGGATGGAAAATGGAGCAGCTAGGACAGGAACCAGCACCCATATGAGATACTGCTGTCACAGGCAGTGTCTTTACACTCTATGCTACAACACTGGGTTCCACTATATGACTCTTGTTTTAAGATTTATTTATTTATTTGAATGGGAGTCTTTCTCTCACTCTCTCTCTTACACACACACACACACACACACACAGAGAGAGAGAGAGAGAGAGAGAGAGAGAGAGAGAGAGAGAGAGAGATTCTCCATTCACTGGTCTATTCCCCAAATAGCTGCAATGGCCAGGACTGGAGCAAGCCAAAGCCAGAAGCCAAGAACTCCATCTGAGTCTCCCATATGGGTGACAGGGACCCAAGAACTTGGGTTATTTTTCACTACCTTCCCAGGTATGTAAATAGGGAGCTGGATTGGAAGTGGAGCAGTTGGGACTCAAATCAGCACTCCAATTTGGGATGTTATATTGCAATTTAGCCCACTATACTACAATGCCAGCCCCTTTCTTTTATGCTTGGTTTTTCCTAACAAATGCTGAGGTAAATATATAATTATAATATCTGAAAAATGCTGCTCCATTGTATTTTTAAACCTGGACAGGAGCTTCAGTCTTGGGCCTGGAAGGTCCCCACAGACTTTCAAGTCCTTACCTCCACATGCCTGGCTGGTAGTGAGCTGTCTCCAGGCACTCGCCTATGTCACCTCCCTTTCCTGGGTCCTCGAGTTCAGGGACCCATTGTCTATTCCTCAGCCCCACCTGCAGGAAGGGAGAGGCTCCTCTCCCTGCCCTGAGTGCCTTGGGAACAGAAACACAACCACTGTGCCCACCCTCCACCAAGAGTAAACTGAGGTCCAGTGCAGGGTTGGGGGTGTATCTTCCAGAAGCCTTTACACCTTCCAGGTAGCTGCCAGTCTCCCAACACCACATGCATATAATTAACCGGTGGGAAATGCATCGGGGGCATATCTCATGTCTGCTTAATTAGGGGCTAGGCAGCTGGGGCCAGGCCAGCCTGGGGGCGCTGCTGGAGGCCTGGCAGCTGGTGACCCTCAAGGGACTCCCAGCTCAAGCTCCCACCTGGGGCAGAAGAATGGAGAGGCTGTTTCAGCAGCTGCTCAGGCAGCTGCATGAGGGAGGGGGTGGAACCTCCAGTAACTCCCCCTCCACAGACCCTGCATGGGAGGCTGGGAGCCTCCCAGGACCAAGCAATACCTGGGGAGAAGTCCAAGTGGCTTTGCTCCTCCCCACGTTCCAAGCATGCCACTCTACTCTTTCCTCAGCAGCCCCTCCCAGCACCCTAGGGGGCTGGCCTTGGACCAGCTTGGGGACACCTCTGGTTTTGGAGCACAGGTGCCTGAACATACCAGCGGTTTCATGGAAAAACAAGTCTAGCATGGACAGGCTCTCTGCCTAGGGGACCCCAACAAAAGGCGCTCAAGCGTTCTCATAGGGAAATACTCCCTGCTGATGGAAGGCCAAGAGTGCACCTGCTTTTCAAAGTCTTTCCACTTCACTGCCCACAGGCTCTGTGCAGTGCCCTGCACCTGTAGGACATCATAGGATTTCTGCTTCTTAGCCCTGTGTTGTCACCCTCCAAATTAATTCAGGGACAATCTGCCTGAGCCACTGACGGACTCACAGTAGCTCAAGAATAAAGTGACCACAAGGGAAGACGGGCAGCAGATAGAGAGTGCTGGGAGAATCTGGGGTCCAGAGCGCCAATGACCGCTGGCCACATGGTGACTGAGGCGCAAGGGTGGCCCAGGCCCTCCTGCTGTCCTGTTGTCGGCAGCTCACAGATCACCACTCCTCCCTGAGCTCAGCTTCTGGTTCTAACACACCTGACTCCAGAGAGGCCACCAGGACGATGATGATATGCCCAGGAAAACCTGAACCTCAGTTTCTTCACAAGGAAACTGAGGTCAACCCACCTGCCTTCTTGGATAATGGGACTGGGGATGGGGGGCCAGGGACAAGGGGAAGGAGTGCTGCCATATCACAGCAAAGGGCAATTCTAGTAGGACTGGGAGGGCTGCAGAGCCTGCCTGGACATCACCATGGGCATGGAGACCGAGGAGGTCAAAACTGCCAGGCACCTGCCTGGTCATGCTCCTCTTTGTGCCTGTTTCCCCTTCCACATCACAAGCAAGCAGACTCCACTCTCATGAGCATTAACCCCATCTTCCTCTTTATTCCCCCAAACTGTGCAAGTCCATGGCAGGCCCCTGAGGGCTCTTGATTGTGGACAGACAGACAGAAGGCTGGGCTGACTCTGATGTTTGTCAACAGCCTGGCGGAAATCTCCTCTGTATGCTTAAAATAAAATCAGCATCAAGCCTGTCACCCAGGCCCCCACTGGAGCTTCCTGTTTCTGAGGGTTGCAGCCAAGGCAGCCAGCAGGAGAGGAAACACCACCCACCTCCTCCCCACTCTCACCCTGCAGGGAGGCCTGCAGCACCCACCCCTGGCTTTGACCTTTTGTGTGCCCAGTGTGATCCTGGACGTTCCACCAGCTACGGGTGGCTATCCCAGGAGGCAGGTCACTTGCAGAGAGAGGCCTCAAGCCCGTGGCCATGCTCTCCTTCCCCTGCTCCTCAGTATCAGGATATGGCACAAAGGGCTCAGAATGCCCAGGACTGGAGGACCACACACGGCCCTGACGGTCCCACCCCGTCCAATAAGGCTAGCTGGTCCGGGATTACCCAGAGTTCAAGGCAATGCCACCTGCTCCAGGGAGCCTACACCAAGTCCCTCTTCCTCCAAAAACGTCTACTTTCCACCCCCTTAACCTAACTCTGTGCAACCTCAAGTTCAGGGTAGTCCCCTTTCAGCTTTCTGCCCCCTTGAGAACCAGGGGGCTGGGGAGGCATCCCTATTGGCCCTTCCGCTGAAGCTCCTCTTCCTAGTGCTGCTCCCACCTCTGGCCTGGCCTCCGTTTCCTCCTCATCGAAGCAGGACTGCAAGCTCCCAGGCACCCAAGCCAATGTGCATGTCCCCACAGGACTTCACAGTGGGCGACAAGGCAGCTGTGCTGCTCCTACCAGGAGACTTCCCCACCCTGGCCAAGTGACCATAGAAGAGTCAGAAGAGTCAGCCTTGGAGAAACAAGCGTGTGTGTTTATTAACCAGGGGGAGGGACATCAGAGCAGCACAGACTTAGGAGTCACTCCAGTCCCTCCTGTTGTCTACCCACCTAGGTCTACTCCCAAAGACCAAGAAGTACAGTAGGTAGGTAGGTTCCCTGGTCCCTACCCCCACCCCGGGGGGAGTCGCCTGGGAGCTGGGCCCCACTGGGCAAGGAAGAGGAAGTTAGCAAGGGTCAAAGGCCCAGGAAGGAAGGAGGAAATGGTCACTGAGCAGACAGGCTTGGCAGGATCCCTGGGCAGCACACTCTCCCCAGGGAGGGCTGAGCACCCCACGTGCAACCCTACCAGAGGACAGGAGCAGGGGTGTCCTCCGGTCCAAAGCTCAAGGCCAACAGCAATCCTCCCCAGGGTCAGTCCCAACCATTAAGCGCTGGTCCAGGCTCTGAGCCTGGGCCTCCATGCCAAGTTCACCCAAGGAGGCTGTGTCTAGTCTCCCACCGCCATGGAGCAGATGTGAGAGACCAAGGCCCAAGTACCCCTCCAAGATGTGTCCTGTGTTAAATTCCGGGTCCAGCAGGGTACTAGCCCTCAGCAGCGGGTGTCTCCCGGGCCTGGCGCAAGCCATACAGCCACTTGATTACACGCGCGTTGCGTTCCACCACCGACACGCCGTAGGGGACGCGCTCCCGGGCGCGCTCCTCCACTGTGGCAGAGCTGTGTGGGGAGCAGCCGCCCTCGGAGCTGCCAGGCCCAGCGCTGGGCCCCGTCAGGGACACGATGTCCGAGCTTGTCCGTGCCAGGTGGGCCACGCCCAATCCCCGTGCCTCCTCCGGGTCCAGGCCACAGAAGTTAAAAAAGCGCTCGAGGTCGGCGGCCGCCCTGGAGAAGCGCTCGCTCAAGTCTGACTTGGAGCGCTGCAAACCCTGTGGCCGAGCTGGGCTGGAGGAGGTGCCCGAGCTGGGCGATGGGCAGGGCTGGGCAGGAGATGAAGGCAGAGGGAGGACATCCACTCTGCGGACCGCTGCCGTAGTGGGTGGTGGGCGTGGAGGTGTGGCTGGCGCGGCCTGATGGGCTCCTTCAGTCTGCCCGGGGGTGCGGCTGGGTTCCACAGGGGACACAGGACTATCGCACAAGTTGATGAGGTTGCTGAGGATGTCCAGGTCGAGCTGGGGTCGGCGGCCAGGGCCGGGCAGGGCTCGGCGGCTGGGCGTTAGTGCTGTGCGGCGAGTTCCAGGGCTAAAGAGAGGCTGTTTGGTCAGCAGGGGCTGCACAGGCTCTTGGCGGGTGTTTGCCACATGCAGGCTCTTAACGTACTTAGCCTTGTCAGCCTCCAGGCGCTCTACAGCACTGGGCTTCCGGACTCCACCATCTGCTGGCCTCCGAAGCAGGTAGCCGGGCACCTTGGTCCGCAGGCGGAAAGGTAGGGCTGGGGCAGCTGGGGTTCCAGGGGTCAGCGTGTCCACAGGCATGGCTGTTACATACCCTGAGGCGTGGGTCTGCAGAGATCAGAAGGCTGAGAAGTCAGAGATCCAGGCAGAAAGTCGACAGCTGGACGCCGGCAACGGCTGCGTGAAAGCAAAGAAAAATGGGCTGAGCTCACTCAGACAAAGGCTCCGCCAAGGCTGAGCAAAGCGAAGACGCCCTCCCTATTATAAGGTGCAAGCCACGCCCCCCGGCTCACAGAGAGCCAATCAGCAGGCAGAAGGCAAGGCTCACGGCTGTGTGGCCCCACCCCACCCTACCCTCCTTCGAAGGGGATGTGGATAGGGAGAACCAGGCTTAGCTAAGAGGAAAAAAGAAAGGCAGGAGGGGGGTGGGTTAGGAGCACACACAGGCCTCCTGGCGCTGCCCTGGGTTCTGGCCAGCTCAACCTCAAAGTCCTCTCAACTGCTGCATTTTGCAGATGGGGAAACTGAGCCCAGCAATCGGTGGAGTCAGAATTAAGGGACCAGGATTCAGACTCCGGCCCCACCCACCCCCACCTGGACTGCCCACAGAGTGCCTGCTTCCACCTCCTGCCGTCAGCCACCCAGGCAGGAAGCTGTTGTGTGCCATCCACTTGCCCAGGCATGCCAGGCCCCTGGCACAGCAAATCCCCACCTCTGCCCCTGTGGAGTCCAGACATGGCACTTGCTGCACTCCCATGCCAGGCAGGCCTGTCAGCCCACAGTTACACTGCTGCAGAAGGCAGCTAGAGTGCCCCAGAATACATAGGCAGCACCAGCAGACTTTCCACCTGCCAGCACCCACGGGATACGCACTGTGAGTTCACAGAAGGGACTGTGCCTGAGTGCCCCAGTGTCCTGGCTACCCAAAGAACAGAGCCCAAGCCAAACATGTCGTTATTTCCAAAATGGGGCTGGGACTCACAGTACTACCCACCTGGCTCCCCACCCTCTTTGAAAATGAAGCAAAAGAAAATCTCACACTGCGTGCTGCTGTCACAGCGCGGCATCCCACAGCAGAAGTAAAGACTTGAGACTTGGCTGCTCTGCTTCTGGTCCAGCTCCCTGCTAATGTGTTGGGAAGGACAGCCCAAGTGCTTGGGTCCCTGATACTCCTGCAGGAGACCTGAACAGGGTTCCCAGAGCCTAGCCACACACAGCCCTGCCCCGGAACCTTAGCTACCGGAGGGGAGGACGCCAGCCAACACAATGTTTCATTCTCTCTCTTTTGCTATGCCTTTGTGATAAATAAACAAATCCTGAATCCCATGAGCCACATTTCAAGATCTCAATAGCTCCATGGAGGGGTGTGTGTGTGTGTGTGTGTGTGTGTGTGTACAGCACTGTGGCAATCAGTACCCAGCTGAAACCCTGGATGTGCCAATCCCAATCAGCCCCTTGTCTCTGCACCTGGGAAAGCAGCGGAAAATGGCCCAAGTCTTTGGGTTCCTCCCCATGTGGGAGACCTAGATGGAGTTTCAGGCCTGGCCCGAATGTTACACTGCTTGTAACATTTGGGGAGAAGATGAGCAGATGGAAGATCTGTGTGTGGGGGGTGTAACTCTACCTGTAAATAATAGAAAAGAAAAAGAAAAATATGAGCTGTGTGGAGCCAGCTATCACAGCCCCGAAGAGCAGAGTGCAGAGCACTAGGACCTTGGCAGAAAGTTGCCGACAGCCCTACCTGGATGCCCAGGGATCCAAGTGCACAGGCGAGAGCCTGTCGTCCCTCCTGCACGCCTCACAGCTACCAACATCTGTCACCATGATCGCCAACAAGCCAGGGAGTAGGGCAGACCTTTCCACCCCATTTTGCAGATGGGGAAACTGAAACTTTGGCATCCCAGAGTGGATAACTAAAAGGCCCATGTTCCTATGATGTCGGCCCCACTACACCAGCTTCAACACTGCACCAGCCTCTCCCCTAATGTCCCCCACACACTATTTCTATTCTCCTGATCATGTTTACAAATGCCATGTAAGCCATGCATGGTTATCATGCCCTTTGATGTCCCCACACCCCTAAAATAGCAGCTCCACCAGGCCAGCAGTTTGTGCCTTAGGCCTACTGATCCCAGGTCAGGTCCAGGACACTGCTCTGGACACATACCAGAAATAAATATTTGTTTAACTGGAACGCCTATGGAACCCATGTGGCCAGGCGGGAGGGGCACCCTACCCTGGGCATCATGCCCCACCTGCTGCAGGCTCAGAAGTGCAGTGGCCTGGGAAGCTACAAAGCCAGAAGTACATGCCAACTGGGTTCTTTAACTGCTGGCATATTCAATAGTAATATTTTGTACAACACCACATGCACTGGGCAGACCAAATGTGTCTATCAACTTCTCTTCCTCACCCACCCTCCTCCCAATCTGGATGGGAAGCCCCCAGATGGAGACCTGGCAGCAAGGGTGGGCTGGGAGTCGGCCCTAGGGGTGGCTGGCCTGAGGCAGTACTATCCCTGAGGAATGAAAAATGGGATCAGTTTGCAAAGGGAGGCTCCTGACCTTTACCAAGCTGATGGAAGTCACCAGCCTCTGCCCCCCCCCCCCCCCCCCCCGGGCTGCAGCGCCCAAACCAGTCCAACCCGTCACAGGAGGTGGTGGCTGAGCTTCACTCCCGGGACCATCCAGCAACACAGGGAGGAAGGAGGTCACATAGGCAGGACCAGGGAGGAAGCCCCTGGAACACCACAGTTCGGATCCCTTCCTGCCCGCCCAGCTGTCCCCAAGTCCTCCTGCAACTAGGAGCCAGGACCCCTGATTGAGGTCCAACCAGCTCCAGGCTACAGGCCACTGGCCTGGACCCGCCCACCCGCCCACCATGCGCCTTGCACAAGCAGCTGAGCCGCACAACCCACTCAGCTTGCTGATCTGGAAAGCGAAGTTAAAAATAGCTCTTCCTAAGGCCTTTGGGTCACCGAAGGCCAGAAGAAGATCCAACAGATTCAGGGCTGGTCTGTGCACCTGCCGGAAGGGAACCCCTCAATGAAGTCCCCAGGAAAGATCTGAGGTGATCTGCACAAGCCCCAGGCAGTTCCAGCCAGGGTCTCTCTGTCCCCTGTCACCGCACCCAGATTGCCCCTAATGTACCAGTCCTACCTCTCTGCTTCCCCATCGGCTCACCACGGCCACGGAGAAACCGCTGGGCTTCAGGGGGCAATAGCAGGGGCTCCGGTGCCAAAGGGAGCCACGGGAGCAAAGCTGTGACCCCCGCCACTCCTCGCTCCTCTCTGATCTCAGATTGCCTTGGTTCTCAAATGAGGAGGAGGTGATGGCGACCAAGGACAGAGGGGGTACCTGGGCTGATCCCCCACCCCCGCACGCACGTACCTGGGTGCCCCGCGCGTTCTTGTTCCTCCAACCCAGCCACCTGGGGCTCAGGTAACCCGCGTTTGCGCAACTTCCGGTGGCCGCGGGCAGATGAACCCGCCCGCCCAGGTTTTATCCGAAAAGGAGGAAGGAAAGCTAGCCGGGCCGGAACTCGAGGCCAGGCGTCCTGGCAGCTTGCCCAGCGCTGGAACCCTGCCGGATTCACTCCAGACCTGTCCCAGAGAACTCTCCCAGCGCCCTGAGCCACCTAAGCACAGTTGGTGAATGGAGTCCCCAGCAGCTCGCTCCAGCAAGGGCACCTGTCTCAGAGATGTATAGACTGAGCCCCAGGTAATGCCTGTTCACCTTCCTATGCAGGAAGAGGAAAGAACCCTTCCTGGTATGAACTGCCCGGGGACACCAGCTGTGTGCCTTAGGGCATCCCTGAGACCATCCAGGTCTGCTGAGATCTTGACCACACCTTCAGGTGGGCGGCACCAGCATTGCCCACCCATTTTCTAATTAATTAAGAGACCACCAATGGGGAACATCTTACCTGTAGGTTCCCCGCCCAACAGGGAGAGGTCAAGGAAGGCTTAAATTCCTAAGACCCTTCCTCAAACCTTTGGTGTCTCTCCCTCCTCTTTCCTTCCTTTCCAGCTCACCTGGTCCCTTCACAAATAAACTTTTCTGTTTGCAACAGATTCCAGTCTTTTTATTTCTATACTAAGCTGAGAAAAGAACCCACTGGGCATTTCTGGTAACAATCCCCATCTGATGAATGGAAAATTGTGGCTGCCACAGCCCGAGTCACTTGCCCAAAGTCACCCTGAGAGTCTAGCCTGGGACTCTCCTGAGACCAAGCCTTACTGCCACTCCCTTTTTCCCTGAGTAGGTTGTGAGGCTCCCAGTCCCCCATGCCCCGCCCTCCCTCACCTGGTCACCTGAGGGTTCTGGGAGAAGTTTTGTGCAAGCAGGGAAGGTGGCCGTCACAGAGCTAACAGGAACTGGGGTTATGGGTGGCAGACATTGGACTCACCTAAACCTCTGCACCTGCCAGGAAAGGGGAGGCAAGGGGAACCCTCCCCCCCCAACCCCAGGATGAGACTGTGGCCATGCAGGAAGGTGTCCTGGGAGGAAGGCGACAGTGTCCTCTGCCAGCCAGAGCCCGAGCTCACTTTTGGTGGCCACAGCTGATCAGGCCCTTCTCCCTGGAGCAGCAGTCTGCTAAATCTCAGACCTGGGGGATCCAGTTCCACCTCCCTGCCTGGTGGGAGCTGGGCTGGACTGGGGCTGGTGAAAGGAGTTCGCTAGGGTGCAGGGAACAAGCCCATCCCCCAGCCCCAGTGGCCTGCAGAGGCCCTAGCTGGTCCTCCAATGAGGCAGCCATGAGAATGAGCAGAAAGGTTCCTTCCAGCCCCAATAGCACTTAGCAGCAAGGTGACAACGACAATTTCCATAACCAAATAGGGAGGAGCTCATGTCTTGGAAACAGTCTCAGTGTTCCAGGCCATACCACCCCAGTGCTGGGGATGCCACCATTATGTCCATTATCCAGATGAGAAAACTGAGACTGAGACTGAGAGTTAAGGTCATCAAAGACACCAAAGCCCTGCCCTGACTGCTCCTGCTGTCCCTCCCAGTGCATCTCCCCAGCCATCTCTACACCAGCAGCGCAGACTCCAGACCCTGCCTGCTTGAGTTCAAATCTCAGCTCCACCAGGATGAGCCATGACAACTGCATTGAGAGACTCCGGTTCTCCAGGCTACAGCCTCCCTAGCCGTCCAAGAGGACTCATGGCAGTGCCCTCCTCCCAGCATGCAGCCTGAGTGTGATAGCCCACAGCTACCACTGGGTAAGTAGTCAGAAAGATTTAGCCAAGCCCAAACTGCAGTGCTCAGCTCCTGGGCAAGGTCTTCCTTGACTTAGAATGCCAACTTGCTACTTTCAGGTGCTAAAGGGAATGGTAAGGAGTGCACAGCTAGCGCAGGGCAGTGAAGTGGCATAGTAGGCAAATCCTCAGCCTGCAGCACCAGTGTCCCATATGGACAACAGTTTGTGTCCTGGATACTCTACTCTCAATCCAGACCCTGCTAATGGCTTTGGAAAGCAGCAGAGGATGGCTCAAGGTAGTGGGTCCCTGCACCCATGTGGGACACCCAGCAGAAGCTACTGACTCCAAGTGTCAGAATGACTCAGCTCTGACCATTACAGCCATTTGGGGAGTAAACCAGAGGATGGAAGATCTCTCTTTTTCTCTGTAACTCTGACTTTCAAGTAAAAAGAAATAATCTTAAAAAGCAACAACAACAACAAAACAAATCAAAGGACGCATTTGGGAGAGCACTTAGTGAAGTGATTAAGACACTGCCTGGAATGCCACATCTGACATCGGAGTGCTGGTTCAAGTTTCAGCTCCTCTACTTCTGATCATAGGAAGCAGAAGTACTGGCTCCAATACTCAAACTCCTGAACCAATGCATGAGACCCAGATGGAGTTCCCAGCTCCTGGCTGTGGCCTGGCCCAGCTCTGGTTATTGCGGCCATTTGAGAAATGAACCAGCAGTTAGAAGATCCTGTCTCTCCCTCTCCCCCTTGTCACCACTTCAGCTGCTCTGCCAATCAAAGTGGTAAATAAAAAATGAGTTAAAAAAAAAAAAAGTACAGGGGCCAGAATGGTAGAACAATAGATAAAACAGTCCCCTCTGTGATGGCAGCATTCTATACAGGTGCCACTTTGTGTCTCAACTGCTACACTTCTAATTGTGTTCCTTCCCAATGGCCTGGGAAAAGCAGCTGAGGGTGGCCCGGGTGTTTAGGTCCCTGCCCCGTATTTGGGAGACCTGGAAGAAGCTCCTGGTTTCAGGCTGGCCCAGACCAGGCCATTGTAGCCACGTGGGGAATAAACCAACAGATGAAAGATATTCTTTCTTTCTCTCTCTCTCTCTCTTTGTGTAACTCTGAATTTCAAACAAAAAGAGTATAGAGTCACTTGAAGACATTTCTCCAAAGAAGATACACCAATGGCCAAATAGAACAAAAAGTCACAATGAATAGCAAATCACACCCAAGAACATGATTATTTTAAAAAGCAAGCCAAGAAGTTAGCCAATGGTGTCAAGAAATTAGCCAATGGTGCTGTGGTCATTGTGGTCACCTGTCATGGTGAGAAACACTCTGGTGGAGCCACCTCGGGCAGTCCCATTGCTGGGAACTGGAGGAGGGACTATGACCTCCATCACCACAGCCACAAGGAAAAACAGCCCAAGCACCCATCGGCAGAAGAAAGCACAACCAAGACATGGAATTTACAGGGCTCAGCAGAGTCAGCCTGAAAGAGCAATGCACCTGGGACCTGTGTTACAGGGATGCACTTGAGGACACAGTGCTGAGTGAACTCCATCAGACACAGGCCACACCTTCTACGCAGGGCCTAGACTGGACAAATGCCTAGAGACTCAAAGTCCTGTGGCGCTTGCCCAGAGCTGGGGGAGTAGCCACCATACGATATGGTGCTGGGCATGGAGGACGAAGGCAGTGATGAGGGCACAGCAGGAATGCAGTTCACGCCACCAAAATGTATGCTTCACAGGGAATAACACGCTGGATCAGATACTCTGTACCTTTCACCACATGTGCAAAGATTGCAAAATCTGGAGCCGACTCCAGGCGCTAGAACCCATCTGCACGCTGATTCCCAAGAGGCCAGCAATGCCAGCAGCAACTGCTCAGGTGGCAGAGCTGAGGGAGCTCAACAAGCAAGCACCTAGCACAGTTGGCACTCAGGGGTGCTGGGAGCGCTGGTGCTTTTGGTGGCGGTGCAGGAGGTATGTTTCCTGATGTTTCCTGGAAGTGTGCACCCAGCCCTGCTCCTTCCTTCCCCCTGCTTCGGTCTTCAGCAGCAGCTATAACCGCTGAGGGGCAGACAAGGAAACTCTAGCCTGTCTCAAAAGAGGCTCTAGAAGGCTCCAGACAGCAGCAGCCCACACTCCATTTGCAGCCCAGCTGTCCAGGTCAGAGGCACTCCAGCTGGGCATCCTCTGAGGACATGCTAGGCTTCAGGCTATTTCTGGAGGCTTCCAAGTTGCTCATGTCCCAGCCTGCCCAGGATTCAACCTTGCACAAACCTCAGATCAGAGAGCCCACCAAGCAGGTGGTGCGAGGGCCGTCAGTGTGGATGCCCAGGGCATTGAATGCCTGCCTAGCCAGCCCTCATGCCAACCTTCTGGGCCTCCGTTGGCACCTCAGGTTGCCAAAGGGAAGAAAGGGGGCTTGTAGTGGGAATGCAATGACAGATAACATATGCAAGGCCTTAGGGAAGGACCTGGCATGGAATGAGGAAGGTGGGTGTTGAGCAGATTACAGTTAGGCCCACTTTATGCCCTAGGCTACCCCTGCTCAGACCTGAGATCATTATCTCAGTGCAGATAGGCAAAGAAGCTTGCCAAAAACACACAGCAAGTCAGAGATACATCACATGCAGGGTGGTGGTCTCATGAGATGTAGGTGTGTGTATGTGTATATATAAATAATTATTTTGTTTTTAATGAGGTAATGCATGTGCATGACTCAAAAACCAAAAGCTACAAAAAAAAAAAAAAAAACAAAAAAAACCCCACACCCTCCCACCTCTGTCCTCAGTTCTCCTCCCTACAGACATCACTGGGACCTGAACACTTAGGCAAACCAAGCAAGTACAGGCTCGTATCATCTCTTTTAGGCACATGGCACATACTGGTCTCACCTGCTCTTTTTCACTCTGCAACACGCAGCTCCCAGTGTACTCCCAGTTATGTCCCCAGTGACCCACAGTGTTTCCCATCAGACCGTAGTGGTGGCCTCTGTGACAGCTGAGACTCTGCAGTGGTCACCTACAGTGTTTTGTCTGCACTGGACACCTGGGTCAGAGGAACGCTTGTCTGATGGCAGGGGTAGGGGACTGCAGGCCATGGGGGCCATTGGAGCTGGCCTTTCTCCCATGGAAAGCACAAGTTCCCTGCAGTTACCTGGACGACAGGTCACAGACACCCCTGAGGTGTGTGCTGCTGCTGCTGAACGCTCCACTTGCCTCCTGCCACCCCCTACCTTCATTACCTTCTACCTGGAGGAGACAACTACCTCAGGAACAAGGACAAGGCAGAAGCCACCAGAGGGAGCAGCTGGGAAAATGGAACAGGCGAGGGACCACACACTCAGACTAGTTACTGAAGGACTCAGTGAGCAGAGCGGTGAAAGGGCCATGTGGGACACTTGCCTCCCACACTGAAGCAGCTACACACAGCCTAGGATGTAGCAGGTGCGGTGTCTTGGCATCCACCACCCGCGTGAGAGACCTTAGGGAAGTTCCAAGCTCCCGGCTTCAGCCTGACCCAGTCCTGGAATGTGAACCAGCAGCTGGAAGACCACTTTGTGTTTCTGCCTTCCAGATTAAATTAAAACAAATAATTTTAAGAAGTGCTGAAAGAATGGATGACAGCCTTGTTTTCTTTCTCACTTCTCAGGGCTCCTCTCCCCAAAGGCAGGAAATGGTGCAGAGGAGAGAGGATGAGCCTCTCACGCCCTCATGCTGACAGCCACGGCTCAGCATCCACCAAGCAACCTGTCCAGGAGTCTAAGACAGAAGCTAGCGGTGCCAAGTCCCAGACTTGGGGCAAGGAGAGAAACTTCTTGAAGGTGCACCAAGCACAAGTTCCCCACCTAAGACAGGAGACCCACAAGAGCAACCAGCAGGGAGAAGGCGACCCCCAGAGGCACAGCAGGTGTGGCTCAGGCCAGCAGCCCCACTTGCAGGGCCCTGGCCACACCCCCAAACCCCGAGGGTCTCGCGACTGGTGTTTAGGGGCTGTCTCAATTTCCTCTCCCAACCCAGGCCAGATTCCCAAGAAGTCAGCAGTGTCCCTGAGGCTTAAGGACGCTGAGAAATATCAGTCTTGCCAGAGCCCCCCAAATCCCTGGAAGAGCAGTGCCTGATTCGGGACCCCCGCAGGTAGAAGGGTGGGCCCAGTCCTGACTTTTGGGGAAAGGCAGGCAGAGGCCCAGAAGGGGCCCCTATGCCAGGTCATGCAGCCGGGGGTCCACGGGCTGTCTCGGCTGATTGGTCTCTCTCTCAAAGCCAATCCCCATCTGCCTAGACTTAGACGCTGCGCGCTGGAGTGCAATGGCGAATGGATCCTCTCCAGCCCTCGCCGGCCTAGGACGCCGGCCTCTGTGAAGCGGTACGCGGATGGACGAGGAGAGGTCCCCGACCCCAGGCCTAGGAGCGCCGGGCGGGCAGCCCTCCCCGGTCCCGGGCTCGCACCCGGGCCATCTACATGCTCACCTGGAACCCGCGCCGGCAATCGGGACTCCTCCACGCAGGGCGGGTTGACAGCTCGGACCCGGGCGGCCACTCCCAACGCAGGCAGGGAGGACCCAGCCCCGCCTGGGGACCCTCAGGAGCCCCTTCGGAGCTGCGCTCTGCACGGAGGACTACAGGTGGGCCCGACCTTCCGGAGAACCCACCGAGGAAAGCGACACGAGCACGCCGCTCTCCCTCTCCGCCCCACCCCCGCAACAGTGCCGGAATGGTTCGTTCCGGACTTCCTGATTGGTCCCTCGCTTCCGTTCGAACGCCGCGCCGCCCCGGTTGCCAGGCGACCGCTCAGCTTCCACCCGGCCTCCGCAACCCCGCCCCCTCCACCCAGCGGGCTGCAGGTTCTTCCCGCAGCTGCCAGGAGCTCCTGGCTCTTTCCTTGTCTGCTCCCCATTTCTCTTGCCAGAAGACTTCCTCCGCGTAGCCAGCTGGAAAACGCTGTAGTCAGCGGCGCCGAGCAGGTGCCTGGTCCCGTCTTTGTTTCTAATTTGTCTGGTGACCACGGACCCGCCCTTCCCTTCTCTGTACCCCTAATCGCTGCAGCAGAATAGAGTTCCTTCTAAACTGTGCATATTCAGCAGTCCAGACAGTGACAAAGGAAGTGGCCCAAACTCTGTCCAGCTGTCAGTATTAACCCAGCATTAGTCATCTCAGGGAAATAATGGGAAAAGACGCCAGGGCTTGTCTAAAGGATTGCATGTGTAAATCTGTCTGCACCGCATGGCTTTACCTAACCGAATCCTTATCAGAGTTAATGGCTACCTTCTGACACAGAACCTCATCTGCCCCCACGGTCTGGAAGCTTGTGAAGCCATGAAAATGATAGCGATAAAAGGCATTTACAACTATGGTGAAATGCTAAGAAAATGCTAAATTACTAAAACTGTATTTGGGAGCCGGCTCTGTGTCTGAACAGGTGAATCCTCCGCCTTCAGGGCCAGCATTCCCTATGAGTGCTGCTTGGTGTCGCAGGTGCTCCTGTTCTGATCCAGCTCCTTGCCTGTGGCCTGGAAAAGCAGCAGGGGATGGCCCAGTCCTTGATACCCTGCACACCCATGTGGGAGACAAAAACAGAAAAAACAAGTGAGACTCTTCCATCTACTGGTTCACTCCCTAAATGGCCTCAATTGCCAGGGCTGCACCAATATAAAGCTAAAACCAGCAGCACCATTCTGGACTGTCATGGGAGTGAGAGGGCTCCAACCACTTGGATTGTCTTGTGCTGCCTTGCCAGGCACATGAACAGGAGGCAGGATGAAAAACGAAGTAGCCAAGACTTGAACTCACACTCCAGTTATTAGATGGTATTGCAAATGGCAGCATAACTCACTGTACCACAGAGCCAGGGCCACGCAGATTTTCCTGATTTCCATCACTTGAACATGTCAAGAGGAAAAGATCATTTTTAGAGGCATTCTATGAAATTAACTCTCCAACCCTTTGGTATAAAGTTTATAGCTGTCCATCCCTGATAGGGTCTTCATTGCTCAAGTGAAGTCAATTTCTGTCCCTAACTCCAGCTGATGTCTTTCATTCTTTGATTGGATTGCCAATAGCTGACACTGACTGTGCACACAGTGAGCAGGCAGTGGGTTGGGGAAGGTGGAGGCATGTCCCATGCAGAGAGCTACAAACAGCTGTGTGATGCAACCAGGGCTCCGCCCACACCAGCACAGACCCTGTCATCAGCAGGCTGTCTGCGGCCACTGAAAGTGCCACCTGTCAGGCCTGGCACTGGGTATGTGCCAGCTGGATGGTGTTTGTAGAGGCTTTGCATATCTTCTCTTTGATACACAAGGAAGCTATGGGCTGTCTACTTCCCGAGCAAACCATCGCAAGTACTCCACTGATTCCAAGTCAATGCACAAGAACCAATTGGCAGGAGGAATGAAGAAAGACCAGGAGCCTGTGACCTTGCAAGAGCCAGGCTTTGGGTCCAGTGCTGTGGCTCAAAAGGCTGATCCTTCACCTTGCAGCACCAGCAACCCATATGGGTTCATGTCTGGGCTGCTTCACTCACCCAGCTCCAGACTGTGGCCTGGGAATGCAGGGGAGAATGGCACAAGTCCTTGGTAGGTACCCTAAACACATAAAGGAGAACCACAAGAAGCTCCTGCTTCCTGGCTTCTGGCTTCAGATCAGCCCAGCAACAGCAATTACAGTACTTTGGGGGAGTAAAATAGCAGATGGGAAATCTGTCCCCTGCTGTCTCTCCTTTCACTCTAAACCTGACATTCGAATAAAAATAAATGTTTTTGTAAAAAACATGAAGTGTTTCATCCATCACAAAATCAGGGGGATTTCTGTTAAAAAGGAACGCCCCCAGGTGTTGGCAACTGCTGAGGTTGACCTGTACCTGGGCAAGTGTTACACTGCTGGAAGAAGCCATAGCTGGCTGTCATTCTGGGCCTGGTTCAGGGCAAATGTGTGTTACCTGTGCCAGTGGGACAGTATAGTTGCTTATGCTTTTCTCTCTTTTTTTTTTTGTAAGCTATGAGGAGAAGGCTGGGCAGGCCAAGACATGCCAGCCCAGCACCCAGGCAGGAACACTGCAGCTGCCCAAGGGAAGGGGTCTAGAGAGTGGGATGGCGGAAAGTAAATTCAAAGGTTCCAGATGATTTCTCTGTTTGAACGTCTCCTTCTTGTTGTGGGGCCATTGCCACCACAACAAGAAAAAAGAAAAAGGAATGTGAAGTTCAAGGTCAAGTTGCCTGTGGTTTGTCACACCAAACAGCCCCCAAGGGGTGCTGGAGGAGGGCTCAACATGAAGGGGCACGTGTTTTAATTTCCCATACCCCTAATCTCAGACACACACATGCACACACACATACATATGCACAACTGTCAAAGCTCTGTGAATGTGTGTGTGTGTGTGTGTGTGTACAAGGTGATGGTCCTCATTTTGACCATTAGAAAAGCAGTGATGTCACTTCCTGGGGTTACACAGCAAAGCAGGCAGGATCCCAGCTCAGGTAAACCAGAATCCCAAGTCACATCCAGTTCAAAAGAGCCCTCCTACATGCCTTGGAGGAAAAGCTCAAGCCTGACAGCTTCCACCTTGTAGGGAAGACCAGGGCAGTGGACCAGAACACAGGTTGACATGATGGCCCCTCCTCTCTGGAGCTGGAGTCCACCTTCTGGTGGTCAGGGAAGAGGAAACTGGCATGGTGCATTTCAGCTTCGACCTGCCCTGTGCAGCATGCAAGGCCCTCGTCCATCTGACCTGACACTCCTTCCTCCTTCTGACCCTCCTCTCCCATCTGCCTCTTTCTGTGGCACCTGTCTCCTCGTGTCCTCCCCCACATGTCCCTATCGTCTTCATGTTCTACCCCTGAATCCTCACCTTTCATCCATTGAGCAGCCACTCCAGCACTCCACACGGCCAAATTTCACCAACCTATAGCCCCTAACACCGGGCTCCCCGTCCCACAGCGCAACTCGTGCAAATCCCTGTCCGAATGGTGGGCTTCCATTCACTACCCAAGGACAGAAGACAGGCACCATGAGGACACAACTCACCCCTCACCGTGAGGACAGACACCCACTCAGCACATGGCAGTGGAAGACAGGAACAAACAGAACCCCCAGAAAACTTAGCAGGTTCTTGTTCATGACCTGGGTTCCTCTACAAACAGTACCCTCCATGTTTTCCCTGAAGGCAGCAAAGAATGAGGCTCTCTTATCACTCCACAAGGCCTACACCTTAGAGTAAGAGCACAAGAAAGGAGCAATCACAGCAGGCAAAGCTGTTGGACTGCCCAGCATGGGGCTACTCCTCAGCCCCACAGCAGCTGCTTTGCCCTGCAGGAGAGGAACCCAAGCAGCCTCATCCTTCTCCTGCCCACTGTCGCTCAGCTCTGCCTGCTGTGCACTGAGCCCTGCCATTGCTTCAATGCCCATAGACACCTGACTTACTGGGTGCCAGCACGACTCTAGGCTCCCCTGGCCACCTGCTGTGTGACACTTTAGCTGTCCAGGAGGCAGAGATTATGTCAGGTGGGTGTAGGGACACTGACACAAGAAGCTCAGCTGTGGTGAAGCCACCTTTGCGAACACAGGGGACCCAGACATGTCTGGGAAACAGTCAGGCTTGACTTGTGAATTCTCAGGAGAATGGGAGCTCTGTGAGGCCCAAGGTGTGGCCCTGGCAGTGGAGAGCGCCTAGCAGCCACAGAAAGGACAGGGTCTCCTCCTCCTCCTCTTTCCCCTCCCCGCATGGCCTGAGGGTTCCTGCTGCTGTGCCCTGCTCCCTGAGTATAAGCAGGCAGGTGCTTCCACCCTCACACTCCAATGGGGTTTTCTCCACCGTCTTTGGCTGGACCATACTCTCTGCTTCTACAAGTGAAACTCACACACCCATGTCATGGCCTTGCTGCCTAGCTTCCCTACTGATCACCCATCTCCCTCCTGCCAGCTTCAGACACCCCTGCCCTTGTCTCCTGGTGAAGTGACTGCTGGGAGCCCATGGCCAACAATCCAATTACCACCATTGCAATGGCAGAATAAAGAACATGGCCTTCAAATCCAGTAATTGGGTAACAAGCTCAAGACTGTGGGGTACTAGTGGTTTTTAAGATAGGCAGAGCTTAGGACCTGTACCTCCTGCCACATGGACACCACCTGTGAGTGACTGGCAGCATCTATGATGTCACACTCACTGAAGGTGCCTCCCTGGGCATGAGGCAACTGGTGACCAGTAGTCTGCTGACTAGCACACTGCAAAGTTGTTGCTAACCAAAGCAGGAGACACTTTCAGAAAATTTGATGGATTTTCAATGGAGGTGAGTGGGACTTGTCCTCTGTACTCTAGTGTGGGGCCAGCCCCTGCCAGGTGGGTGTCCCTGGTCTCCCACACCTGTGTCCATGAGTGACACCACTGAGTCCTGAGAGGATCCCCTACTTGGGCAGTTCCATTGGGGTGGCCTGCAGGGTCCATGATGACCACTGTGTTGGCCAGGATGCTGGCAGCACTGTGCTGCTTCCAAGAGTGACTGCTGCGTCCTCCAGGACTGGCTCTCCTGGCAGGGAGCACTCCAGATGTGGCAGGTGCTGCTCAGCTGGCTGCTTTCCTCCCATGTATCCCTAAAGGGCCCACTGGTGCCCACACCTAAAGCACCAAGAAGGAGGAGGGGCAGGCTGAGTGTGAGCAGGAACAGCCAGGGCAGCAGTGCTGGAGTGGGGTCTGTCTCAGGA